CTTCTGACATGGCAGCTGGCTTCCCCCGGAGCAAACATCCCAAAAAACCAACCCAGCCTCAGAAGTTATATGTGACTGTATTGGTTGAAGCAGTTCCAGTTCCAGTCACACTCATCGGAAGGAGGCAGAGACCCCGACTCCTGATGGGCGGGATATCAAAAAATTGCAGCCATTGACAAACAAAAAACAAGCAAGCGGCCACAGTTCTATTCAGCATCCCTAAGACCTCTCTGAGCACCTTTCTGTGGGTGCTTATCAAGTTCATGACTAACTCTGAACATCCTGATTTCCACGTAGTCGTCCGCTCCAGCTTCTCCCCAGCACCTCCTTGTCATATCTGTCTTCCTTTTCTTTCTATTTGGACAAATCACCTTCGGCATCTCTCCTTCGTTTTTAAAAACTTTCTAGCTGATTTGTTTCTAACCAGTTAATGGATTTCTAACCTGCAAGTAGAATGGCTGTCATAAAATGTTATTTTTAAATTTATTACAAAGCAGAGATTTTAATATAATGGCTCATTCTTTCAACTATCTTTCATCTTACTATATGACACAGGAGTCTTATAATATACATCATTTTAGTAAACAATCTGTGTTCCTCATCTTAATAGCATCTAGTTGCCCTTCTATTTCAAACAAAACAATGAAATTTCTTCATCATAACATAGCATGGACAGTCCACTGGAAACAATTGTAATTGGTTGGATCCACATTAGAAAGGAAAAAGCTACTGGGAGCTAGTTGAATACCTGAGAAATTGTGTTCTAACATTTTCAAGCAATTAGCCATTAATAAGCCTCATAAAAACAGATTCTTCCCAGTTTTAAAAACTGGGTAATTGCCAATATTCTTCAGTCAGATGGTTATAGCCTTTGTACAATCACCTTAAATTTTCCTTTTCTGTCTTCTCAAGTCAGCCTGAGAGCTATGCTTGAATTAGCTAATTAATAATGAATGAACCTGAGATTTTCAGGTTAAGTCCCACCTACTTCTCCTTACTTGAGTCAGGATGCAAGAATGGTTTCTTCTCTTGGGAGGAAGTTCTGAGGATGGATGATGTCAGTGAAGAGCAAATGTCACAGTAGAACCTGAGAGGGTGAGGACTTTGATTTGAAAACAATTTAAATTATTGGGAGCAAAAGGAAATGGTAAATTTAGAAGGGACAGCATTGCCACTGAGATGGCAATGGGGTCATTTAATAAACTAGGAATGCTCTCTTAGAGATTAAATATGTAATGCATGTGAGACAATGGATTGTTAGGGATTTACAAATGTAATATGGTTTCTATAATACAATGGCATTTTGTGGCTTTTCGTGTGATTTTGTATTAATGTTTTGTACGCAGTTTTGTCTTATAGGAATAAGGTAACAAGATGATTGTTTTGAACAGATGAATAAGTAACCAGAGCCAGCCTTATGGATGGCAGTGTTTTGCCCAATGGTATTTACACTGAGTGGCCAGATTATTATGACCACCTGACATTTGTAGGCAAATTAGCTATAATTTCGTGCTGAAGTTGCTGGAGGGCCAGATCATTACAAATGTCTGAATAACACAACATACCTAAGTGTCGTTGCTGATCAAGTTCATCCTATCATGTTGATGGCGTATCCCAATGGAGATGGCTTCTTCCAACAAGACAATGCACCATGCCACGGTGCTCGTATTGTGCAGGAGTGGTTTCAAGAACATGAGGGAGAGTTTACCTTGCTTAGGTGGCCCCCACAATTACCAGATCTCAATCCAATTGAGCATTTGTGGGACGAAGTTAAAAGAGCCATCAGGCAGCTGGTTCCACAACTATCAAATCTCACAGAACTGGACAGTGCTATTCATAAGGCATGGTGTCAGATTCCTCGCATCACCTTTCAATACCTCGTGGAGTCAATGCCAAGAAGAATCGCCGCAGTATTGAAGGCAAAAGGTGGCCCAATGAAGTACTGGTGGGGTGGTCATAATAATTTGGCCGGCCATAATAATCTGGCCACTCAGTGTATTTCTTACATTGTTTATGATTTACTTTAAAACACTTCCATGTAGACACCATAACATCTGTATTAGTTGGCTTTTATCTACACTTTAGAGGCAGTTAATGAATATTTGAAGTACTCTAATCAGAAATTGCACATCAAAGGGATGGTTAGCTAGCATTTGAAAGCCCTAAAAGTCCACACTCTAGAGACAGCTTTTAGTAGAGGGACTGCGGCATTCCTTCCTTCTGATCCACACTAGACGCTTAGCTCAATATAATGGATGTTTGAATTTGGTCACTGATGTGTGGACTTGCTAGGTGTTAAAATTAGGTCTTCAAATGTGCAGACTTGCCAGATATTTTGTTTGGGCGCTTCCCCCTCTCTCTAAGTAGAGTACAAGGATCTAGCAGGGCTGATATTCCTCTCTAGGCTTTTGATTCCAGACTTGCCTTGTGCTCAGATGCTGACTGGAGAATTTCTGTGACCCTGCTTTGATTTGGCAGCTGAATCTGCGGCTAGAATGCTACCGCATTGGCTTTGAGTGAACTTTTCAGGAAAGATGCTATCCTAGTACCCAAAAGGACAGAAAACCAGGACTTCATCGAGTTTATGGAATAGAATGTATGACTCTTTTTGTGTTTATACTGTTAAAGTAACTTCTCAGGCAAATGAACGGCAAACATATATCACAGGTATTTTTCAAACTTGCTGCCAGGGAAGGGGCTTATGAGCACACTAACACATTTTTTTTTTTTTACTTGATACATATTTTGTAGGAAAAACATTTAGATAATTACTGAGATTGTACTTATTTTAAAAAAAGAATGTTTAGATAAAGATCATTAGACATCCTGGGAGACTGGTCATAGGTTCCTAGACAACTTCTGAGGTTGACAGTAGCTGGTAGATAAGTTACTTGAGGTCTTGGTAGAAAGCAAATGACTCGCTCATAAGGGTGATGTGGAAACAGTAGAGTAGAGGCTGTTATGGTGGGTGTGGGGCTTGGGGGTATTAATAAGGGATAGTGCAGTCCTCAGGGCTGGCAACAATGGAGAATTACTACTGCTAGGCCTGAAGGGGTAAGGGGAGGGAATGCTACTCAGCCTGTAGGAGGGAGCTGCAGAGAAGGTGGCCTCTGCCAGGCGTGGAGACCTTCAGTGGAGGGGGATAGCCAGCCCTTGGCATCTCTGCAGGAAGAGAATCAGGTGTTTATATCCAAACTCACTCTCCTCCTGCCCTCTGCCATCTAGTCTCCTGCTGGGATTCTCACTGGTCAAAACCAACCTGAGTTGGAAGGCCAGGGAGCCCATACAGGCCAGCTTCCGGGTTGGGAGGGTGGAGGAAGGTGTGGAGTAGAGCTGAAGGCCAACAGAAGACCCAGCACAGTAAATTTTCTAGAAAGAACTCTTGAGCTCATTGACATAGATCAGAAAATAGCTTATCTGACTTATCAGGAGTGATAATTATCTTTCCAAAGGGGCGGCTAATCATGTCAGACCACAAAGTTCAGCCTCAGTTCATGGACAATTTTCTTTCTCAGCATGTGTAGCAGAAATTGGTCTGACCTGACTTTTATTATGAACAGTACCTGGTAGGAGGCTTACTGCTTCATCTACCGCTAAGGAGTGGCGGCTCTTAGGAAAAGATAATCTTCTTGATACCTCATACCTGGGAAGGGTTAGATTGGATTAGGTAAGCTCCCTACATCTCTGCACTCCACACCCTGTTCATTTCCCTCACTGCACGTATTACCATTCATAATTATATATTTATTTCTTTGCTGCTTTGTTTATTGCCTCTGTCATCCCACTCAGTTACCATAATCTGTGAGGGCCAAAGGATGTATCTACCCTGCCCACCATGGTGCCAGGCACATATTCATTAGATGAATGAATGAATGAATGAATGAATACACTCATTATCTTCCAGTAAAAGGCAGCATTAGTGAAGTGGAAAGAGTATAGGTTCTGGAACAAGGAAGAATCAGGTTTGAATCTTGGGAGTCAAGAGGACTTATCAAAGTGTTTAATCTCTCAAAGCTGCAATTTCCTCCTCTATATCATGATGATTATAAAATTTATTCACTTCATTGTTAAAGTTTGAATCACATACACTATGAAGTGCCTAGCAGGGCTGGGAAGGAAGACAGTTGGGAAATAGTGTGACACCTGCTGCTGGTCTCATCCATCTATTGTTGGGTTTTGAAAAAGAACATTTATAGAAAGGGAGGACTCCTTTCACATGAGTAATGCTCATTAAAAAACAATAATTTTCTTGAAGGAACAACCAGAGGCTTAGCATATAATATAAAGGCTCTATCTTTTTAAAGGCTATTGAAATTTCTCTTTTAAATGATCATTAGTCACTGGTGGTGAGTACAATCTGGTGGAAATGCATTCAACCAAGTCTAAAGCCTTTAGCGTTTATGACAGGGGGTCCTATGGAATTTGCATGGGGCATACGCAATAGAAATGTTACTAAAAATATGTAGACATACTTTTATTAATTACAATACATTTTAAATGTAGTAGGAACATTCATCCTGTGACGAATTCTCTTCTAAAGCTAAGAATGACTCCAATATTATCTTTTTTTAAAAATCCAATTCCCTGTAAATAATGTTGATGTGAAAAAACCCAAATGCTGGCGATATCTTCTGGGCTGGCTTTCCATTCCTAATAAAGCACTCCCTCAGCCCCATTTTTTTCCTCCTCTGGGAGAGGTCTGAGGCTGTCCGCCCCTTCTGTAAGGTGAGCCCATTTAGCCTGTGGGCTTCTATGGCAGCGCCTTATCAGGGTCTTTGAACAAAAATATACAATAACGTCCTCAAATTTGATGGGACTGTTGATGACTGTGAAAAATGAAGCTGAAGGGAAAGCTATGGGATAGGCGTAGAAGCCACCTTTGAACTGTAAGCCTTTCCCATGACCCGTGCCCCCAAAATAGTAGCTCCCTGCCAGCAACCATCTGCAGCCTTGATCTGACCCTGCCCAAACATTTGGCATGTGGAAGCTGGCCCAGCTGTCACAGAGCAAGCAGATAAGTTTCCCAGCGTTTACAGACTTCTCTTGGACTTCTGCATATCCTCCCAATCATCGCCATATAAAAACACCAGATACAATTCAAGAATGTGCCAATAACAGCTCCCTCATCACAGGCTGGGTGGATTTCCAAAGCACCAGATGCTGAATGCAGCTCCTCCAGGAAAGGTGGTAAGCAGGGTGCTGGTGGTGCTGGTGGGGGTGGGGGAGCTATCAGGGGCACTGTTTTCACTCTGGGCCCAAGCCCACCTCCTAAACCACAGGACTGATCCATTGCAGGTCAGGGAGATATAGGTGGGGCAGAGAGGTGTGGAAGGTAATCTCATCATTTGCATCAGCTTTTCTTAGCCTTCCGTTGCCCTGGAGAAGCCGCCATAGTTTCACCTTCCCTGTCTCTCCTTTCTCCTCTCCCCAAGAGATAGATTTATTTTTAAAAAATATATATTTTTATTGATTTCAGAGAGGAAAGGAGAGGAAAAGAGAGATAGAAATATCAGTGATGAGAGAGAATCATTGATCGGCTGCTTCCTGCACGCCCCCTAGTAGGGATCGAGCCCGCAACCGAGGCATGTGCCCTTGACTGGAATCGAACCTGGGACCCTCAGGCCAACGCTCTGTCCACTGAGCCAAACCAGCCAGGACAAGAGACAGATTTCTTAATGTAGAAACCTTTGAGTCACCTCTCTCACACCATTAGTTCTCCCTCTGCCCTTCTTTCCCTAAATCTCCTGCACAATACAAGTGAGAATCTAAGACTTCATCTGCATTGAGATGTTAAAAGATATGTATTTTTAACTTAATGAGGAAAATGATATATGAGATCTTCCATTAGAAAAGAGAAATTGAGCCCTGCCTGATGTCGCTCATTTGATTGGGCGTCGTCCCATGCACTCTGGGGGTTGCTGGTTCAATTCCCGGTGGGTAGGTTTTTCTCTCACTTAACAAACAAAATTTAGTACCTAATTTTGGTTGTTAAGTACATGCCTGGGTTTTAGGCTTGATCCTTGGTAGGGGTTGTGCAGAAGGCAGCCCATTGATGTTTCACTCTCACATTGGTTCTCTCTCTCTCTCTCTCTCTCTCTCTCTCTCTCTCTAAATCTTTTAAAAAAAGAGAGAAAAGAGAAATTGAATGAGGTAATGTGGTTTATTTAGGGACCTTTCCCTACAGAAGATCCAGGCAGAAGTCATACCTGCTTATGCTGAAAAGCATAATACTAATGTATTCCCAGCACTTTAGGGAAATTCAGGGGAAAACCCCTCAAACTGGTGTATAGAGAAAATTTCCCATCAAAAGGACTGAGGTGAGGAGGTGAAGGGATGGGAATCCAGGGACTTCACTGGCCAGGTGGGGCAGAGCAGGTGCTATGGTTAGATGCGGTAACACTTCCATTTCTCTAAGGAAGGCCCTCTGCAAGAGAGGGAGCCTTGGGTCCCTTAGGGGATTCACACTTATATCCTCTAACAAGTATCGAGTGTCCTGTATGTGCCGTGCATGGTATTAGATGTGGAGGACACAAAGTTGAGCAAACAAATGGGGTTCCTGTCTTCGTGGAACTACTGTTGGGAGGGTTAATGCTAGTAATTAATTATTAAATAATTGTGCGAATGGAGCAGTGCTAAATGCTCTGATGAGAGGCAATTTGTGAGAGGATTTGACTTAGTCTGAGGGGTCAGGAAAAGCTTTACTAAAAAAGTGATGAGTGGGTTGAGAGCCGACTGATGAGGAAGAATTAATTAGGTAGATAAAGAAGGGAGGACAGGGAGTAAGCTGGTGGGGGACTGGTGGGCAGAGGCACTGGAGTGAGGGTAGTGGATTGGAGTAGGGAGCGTGAAGGGGGGAGAGGGTGAAGCTGGGGTGTTCTAGGGCACAGATCAGGGAGGACCTTGCTTGTAGACCATGCTGAGGATTCTAGTCTTTATCATACAAGCAATGGGAAGCCAATGAATCGTTTTAATTGGTGGTGGTGGTGGTGAGGGCAGTGGTGCAGAATATGTTCAGATTTGTGTTGGACAAAGATTGTTCTGGCTACAGTGTGATTAGGGCTTGGTGGAAAGGGGTAGAAAGAGGAGATAGGAGGGTCATTAGTAGCCAAGGCAAGAAATGATGATCGCTGCTCAGGCTAAGCAATGGGAAGAGAGATTTAAGAGGCAAAATCAACAAGGCTTGGTGTGTGTGCCTCTCTTATCACCGTCAAGCTTTCTCAAGTGTAAATCTAACAGGAGCCTGGAGGTAGCATGCCCACTGGTGCATAAGAGAGCAGGTCAAAGCTGAATTACATTGGTCTGAACAAACAGCTCTGGTGCTGGATCCCGGGGAGTGTTTGCCAGCCCCCCTGCATCTTCAGCATGAGCAGGCACTGAAAATGCAGTGGGAGGGAAGGAAGCAGGCACCCGGGTTATTTTTAGCAAGCTCTAGGAAATAGCCAACATTCTCACTTGAATCCTCTCATTAAAACCCAGAGGCTCTCCCCACACAGTCCTCATTTCTAATGTCTGCAAACTTCTCCTTTTCCAGGTAATTGACAATAGCCCCCCCATGGAAGTCTCCCTGCAAAAATTCAGGAAACATTAGTTTGACATCATCATCATGTTTGCCAAGACAGCAAAAATCCCAGCCGACAAAACTTCAAGGATGATGAAGTGGAACAGTGAGAACAGCGCAGAATGACTGATCATTTCAGGATGTCTTGATGTCTTTAGCAAGAGTTTCCAAAGCTGGAGTTTTCCATTGTCTCTGAAGTAGGAGCAGTAGGGAGTGGCTACTGTGGGATTGGCCATGGTGATGTAGTTAGGGTTTCCTCCTCTTTTCTACCTTCCTCTCTGCGTTCAAGTGGTTCCTGGAGTTAAAATTATTTTTTAATATTTTCATTTAACAACAATAAAGACTTTTTTTTATAATTCATTAAGTTGAAATTGCACAGAATAGTCAGTGCCTGAATTTTTGCTGAGCTGATCATCACGTTGGCATTCCAGGCCCTCCATGTGCTGTGGACCTGGGGCATGTTATTTAGCTTCTCTGGGTCTTAATTCCCTTGCTGGACACATGAAGAGGTGTTGTATTAGCTGGGCATTTCTCCAGCTTCAGTCGTTTGGGTATCACCTTCATTATATTTGCCATGTGGACTTCTCATTTATATAATTACTTCCTTAACATTTTCCCCCTAAATTGACTCATTTGTTTATTTGAGTCCTTTAAAAAAAAAAGTCTTGTCTATAATATATAGGAAATCATGGGGCAGATATGATATTGACTTTTTCTAATACACATAAATAAGTGCATAATTAAAATTAAAAGATTTTCTACATATATACATAAACTGAAACTACACTCTACCACATTGATATGTAGACCCCACCCTGAGAAACTGGCCAAACTGATTTCTAAGCTCCCTTGAAGTGCTAAGGTATTATTGTTCACATCTGGCCTCTCCTACCTAGGTTTATTTCTCATGTCTTCCTAAAATAAAACCTCAAGTATGGCCAGATCAACATCCTTGTTGCTCCTTGTACACAGTGTATGCATGCTGTTCTCTTCGGCTAGAATTAATAATTTACTATGGAAAGAAAAACACTAACCTAAGTAAGAAAGAATAAATTGAGAAAGTACATGATTGGGTAGGCAAGTTACCCTTGACTTCTAGGTCAAGAAAATCCTTAAGGTTGGCAGCTCTTGGGTAAAGGTCAAGTATAAAGAGTTGAGAGATTAGTGATTCATGGGCTATTATTTTTTCCTTGAAAAAACAGAGTTATTCATTTACTGGGCAAATTTACTGAATAAATTTCTGAGTGTCTCTTGGGTTTCTTTAACCTCATCTAACAGAGAAGAATTCTGGCTTGAAAATTATTGGTGAGTAATCACTACTATATTTGGGTGGAAAAGTAAGAAGGAAGGGGAAATGACCTTCATGCTTTGTGATGGCCCACACATTAATTACTATAGAAATTAATTAATCAATCTACACTGTGTTTATCCCATGCTAGACACTGGATATACAAAGATAATTAAGAGAGTTCTTTACTCTCCGGGAGCTCTCTGTGCAGGAGATAACAAGTAAATAAGTGAGCATGGAAAGGCATCACAGGACCCAAAGCAGAAGTGTGACCAGGACACAATGTGACCACAGGAGGGAGAATGTCAGCTCTATTGGAAAATCAGGCAACGCTTCCTTGAAGATGTAACCCTCAAGTCAGATCTTCACTTATAAACAGTATTGGTTAGTGTAGGAGGGAATGCTCTTCCAAGGAGAATAAAGAGGCAAAATTATCTGGCATATTCAGAAAAGTGAATGCAATTTATTAAGGGTGGACCATCTAGTTAGCTCTGTGTGTGTGTGTGTGTGTGTGTGTGTGTGAGAGAGAGAGAGAGAGAGAGAGAGAGAGAGAGAGAGAGAGAGAGAGAGAAGGAGAGAGGGGGAGGGAGAAGGAGAAGGAGATGGAGAGATAGAAGGAGAGGGAGAGGGAGAGGGAGGAAGAGATAGATGGAGAGGGAGAGAGAAAGATTGAATTCCTGTGTATTTCGGAAGGAGATATTGAAGACTTTTAACCAAGGGGGTGATATGTTCAGACCTGGGTAGTGGCTAATTGGGTTCAGAGGGGTTCCCAAACTACTGGCAAAGAGACCTGTTGATATACTGTTGCAAGAGTCCTGGTGAGAAGTGATGAGGACAGCAGCAGTGGGTACAGAGACAAGGGACAGATTTGAGAGGTTAAAAAGGATATGATGGCCCTGGCTAGGTAGCTCAGTTGGTTAGAGCATCCTCCTGATACACCAAGGTTGTGGGTTCCATCTCTGGTTCGAGGCACATACAGGAAGCAACAATGAGTGCATCAATAGGTAGAACAACAAATTTCTTTCTCTCTCTCTCAAAAAACAATATTTTTTTCAGAAAAGGATATGATAATGAGAGAGTGGAAGATGTCTAAGGAGATGCCACAGTTTTGAGTTTAGGTGATTGGGTAGTGGTGCCATCCTCAGCGTGGGAACCCAAGAGGAAGGATGCAACTTGGGCAAACAAGAATTCCTTTTGGAACTGTATTCCTGGGGCCTGCACGGCGAAGTGACAGGGTATAGAGCAGTGACACCTGAATTTTCCCCCAGCTCTGTTGGTATGACCTTGTTTGACTTCCCAACATCCCTGAGTCTCATCTCTTTGTCTATAAGATATATTGCCAGCCCTGGCCTGATCTGAGGTCTCAAAGAGAATAGATATGTGAAAGTGTTTTGTAAATGTCTCCACCAATGTAAATATTTATGTCTCCAGAAAAGTACAAGATGTAAAAAGCAGAGTCATCAGCACATTTAGCTTATAAATGGGCAGAGTGTGTGGCTGCTTTGCATTGAGACAGAGCATCCAGTAGAGATTTCTCTGCAAAATTGCCAAGATCACTGCTTGTCTTCTGGCCCCAGTGGCTTAATTCCTATGAGACTAAAAGGTATTACTTTGCTTTGCAACACTCCAATTCAAGAACATCACAGCTCTATATTTTTTTCTAAAGCTTATTAAATTGCTTCTCCATTCCCACTTGCCAGGGCCCATTGAATGGACAAAACATTCATCTTCAGTCAAAATTGGGATTCCCATTGGATCACATAACAATCTTCACTGGTAAAATGACTGGGGTTAGAGATAAGTAGGCTAGAAATATCACACAGGCAGCCCACCCTTGCATCAACAGGGTATACTAATTGTTTGAGGTTTAGGCAGACTTGCAACACCTGTTCATTCAGGTGCAGTTCTTTGAGATCCATTGCCCCCAGGACTGAGGAGAAGATGTCTGTGCTAGTGGTGCACCTACCCCCAACAGGTCAGCAGCAGTGTCATCCAGGCCAAAAAAAAAAAAAAAAAATAGGATCTACTTTCAGTTGCTGTTGTGTTCAGAGTTTGCTGGAGAATAATCGTGTTCCCTATAAATGAGGAGAGTTGTAATGTCAACAGTGTGGGGAGAGTCAAGATGGAAGGAAACCCTGAAACTGAACAACCGAGGGTGGGGGCTAGTGACGAGCCTGAGGATGGAGTGCATATGATGGAACTGAGGTCTACTGATGAGAAAGAGGTACAAATAAAGATTTTTTTCTAAAAAAGAGGCCAGCATGGAGAAAACCAGGAATAAGAAAGCATTTTGAGTTAATTAAAATGAACTAAAAAAACCCTTACTTTATAATTCTTTCTTGCAAATTGAGAAAGATCAACTTGGAGCAACCACTCTTAGAGTCAACATTTTTGGTCAGAGTATTTTAAATGCCAATTCACCTCCTGGGAGGAGAGAAAGCCCATCTTAGAGCAGGTACTACTAGTGGCCTGGGAGATTACTGGAGGTAAAAAAACTATTTTAATAGTTACATATTTATTTTATGGCTGTCATTATCTCTGACAAGTCATTATGGTTTTCTGTTTAAGGCACTGACATGACATTTTCTTTGAAAATGATTTCTTTAAGCAAAAAAAAAAAATAAGTGGGTTGATGTAAAGAAAAAGTATTTATTAAAGAAAACAGGTGATAGAGCATAGGAAAAATAAAAGGGTAGTGTCAGAATGACTAAAAGTTTGGGAAACCTCAGGAATCGTTCTACCTTTGGGTGGAGAAGTGGGAAGGAAGAAGAAAGAACCTATGTGGTTTGTGATGGCCAACGGACAGGTAACTTCTCAATCAGGTTATTTCATCACACGGGCTTTGCTCCCATGAAGATTATTCTCCGAAAATGCAAATAAGCCAAGGAGAGGGTCATATCTTAACAGATGGTAAGTGTATTTCTTAATGATGGGCTTACCCTCTGACCTGGACATGTCTGGAGGGAGAAAGGAAATTCCTGGGCTGGACTAAGGGTGAGGTGCAGTGGACTCCATGACAGCTCATCAACCTCCTAGCTTTGTCCAGTCTTGAGTAGAGAGAGCCCTTGGGTGGTAGCACTTACCTAGCGCAGTGGCTGACAAGGGGGTTGAATGCAAATGACCTAGAGGTTTTCTGTGACGCTGAGCGCTCCTTAAAGGTAGACTTGAGCATTGTGGCATTTTTCTTTTTTTTGTATGTACACCTTGCAGTCTCTAGAACAGTGCTCTGTACAAACACAGGTACTCAATAACTAGCTAAGTAAAAGAATGAATTGCTATGAAAATTGTACAACATTTTACATATAGATTTACAAATGAGTAGAGAGAGCTGAGGTTTAAAATGATAAAAATTTGAGTTCACCTCCCATTTCTGCTCTTGATTTGCTGGGTCAGTTACTCAGCCTCTTTGGATCTCATCTATTCAATGTTGCTCATCGGTGGTATGCTGGTAAGTGTTCTGCAACGGGCTCTCTAGGAAGAAGAAAAGCTCCACTTTGTGATACTTGCTGATTTTCATGGTATAAATATTCCCACCAAGCTAACAACCGTTTAACAGCCAGCCTGCAAAATTCTGCACATCTAGATGCCAGCTCTTGTGAGCCACCAGATACAGTTCACCACCATGATAATGATACCAACCTCAGGGGTGTCAATCATTCTCTGAGCACTGACTACCTGCTAAGCATTGTGCTTGGATTATATCACTTAGTTCTAATAACAATGCTGTGAGGTAGATATTATTATTTATCCCTATTTTAGGAATAAGGAAACAGTGTTGGGGAGATTGAGAGTTTGTGAATGCATGCACAAATCCTCCCTATTAGGCTGCCTCCCCTGTTCCTTGAATGTAATAAAAAAGGGCAAGTAGCACATACAGCATTTGGCATATAATAGATGCTTATTTAGTGTTACTTTCTGTCCTCCCTTTACCAATTCTATGAAAAAAAAATATTGCACCAAAAAATGTTCTGGACCAGATCTCTGGGAAGGTCCAGTCATAGAACAAGACCAGAAACATTGTTTTTTAATTCTGAGAATGTACCTTAGGTATTTTTAAAAAAGAACAACATGAACTGAAGATACAATCAAATCCAGGTAGATTTCCAAGTATTTCAAGGACTGAACTGATGTCTAACGACCCATTTAACGAGTCAAGAACTTGGAATATGGGTGCTTTCTCTGGAGGAGGGCACAGACCACCTCCACTAACCTCCTGCCCAGCAAAAGGGTTTGTAATGATTTACCACCCAAGTGCTGGGAGGGAGGATGACCGTGTAACTGGCCCAGTTCTGGCCAATGAGACTTGGGGGAAATCGTGCTAATCAGGCTGCTAGGAACAAGTTTCTTTGCTGAAAAAAGCGGAGATGTGTGAGAATAAATTCCACGACTACCTACCTCTAACGATGGCAGATTTGGAGTCTAACTAGGGAGATAGCCTGAAAGTGCTTACCTCCCCATTTATTATTTATTAAGCAAGATAAAGAAATAGTCTTATTGTTTAAAGCCTGTTAGTCACGTATTCAGTAATTTTCAGGCCAGAACATCCTACAACATCCTACACCAGTAATTAAAATGGATTATCTAATTAACCTAGTTGAACTTAACTGTTAGGAAACTTATGGTTGCCAAAAACCCACTGTGCCTGTTAGGAAGTTTTCT